ATCAGTGTCCGTAAGAGAGACCCCGTGGAGCCCCCCGAGCTGCCCCCTGAGCCCCCACAGCCCCTTCCAGAGCCTGAGCATCCCAGCGGGAGCACCCCTGTCCCTGCGGAGCCGGGGGGGAACAGCAAGGGCTCAGGGAAGGTGGACCTGAAATCCCTGCACCTGGAGAGAGTCCAGAGGGAGAAAGCCAGACGGGAGGAGGCAGCCAGGAAGGTGCGGGAACCCGGCACCAGCAGCAGGAAAAAGGACAAAAGCGAAGCCAAAGGTAGGTCAGGCTTTTCATAACCAGCACAATTAATGCTCTTCCTTGAGTGAATCTTAATCCCTGTGGGTTTGCTCCAGACCTTGGGATTTGCCTATGTGCATGAAGCATGTGGCTCTTGAAAAGCTCCCCGGTTCTTGTCAGAGGGGTGGGAACTGGCAGGAATGTGCATCAGTTGGCTACAGCAGCTGGGGAGAGGGCTTTGGGTACCTGGAGGCACATTCCTTAAGTCAGAAGAAAAACACTGGGGACCCTTTCCCAGGAAGGAGCCTCAGGGGTTCCATGGGAGACTCCCAAATGCAGAGAGAAGAGCTAAGAGGGCCCACACTGAAGGAAGCAGAGGCAGCCCAGGCTGTGGCTGTAGGTGGGTGGGTTTGTTGCCAGTCCCCATTCCAGGTGTCTGCTCACCTTTCCCAGGAAAGCCAGCGGTCGGGAGCGGAGCAGGAGAAGATTTTGACGCTCTGATCTCTGCGGCCATGGAGGCTGACAGGACCTGTGCCTTCCCTCGCTGCAAAGCCTCTGTCACAACCCTGGGCCAGCTCTGCCACCACTGCCACCGGTGCTACTGCCTCAGCCACCACATCCCTGAGGTACAGCAGGGCGGGCTTAACCTGGGAATGTTCCCTGGGGAGCTCCCTGGGCAGGGTTTCCTTGCAGGGGGTTTCAGCAGGGCCCTCCCTGTCACAGTCTGTGCTGAGCTGCAGGTACACAGGGCTGCCAGGTGCCACACCTGGGCTCTGCCCACCCCTTCCCAAGAGCTTTTCCTTCTTTTCCTCTCACTTTGCCCTTCTTTGGCATTTTCTGGCATTTATACCCTCAGGCCATCGAGGCAGGGAGGAGAAATGGAGAGGCACAAGCTTAAGGCAGTGACTCAAGGGAGCTTAGACTCGATTCCCAGCCCTTTGCAGATTCCCTCTGCATCCTGGGGGCAATTTCCAGCCCTTTGCAGATTCCCTCTGCACCCCAGGGGTGATTTCCAGCCCTTTCCAGATTCCCTCTGCACCCCAGGGGTGATTTCCAGCCCTTTCCAGATTCCCTCTGCATCCTGGGGACAGGTCCCCAGCACGGAGAAGTGCTGCCTGGTCAGCAATTCAGAATTCCCAGTGCCCCTGACCCTCCTCCCACAGCTCCCAGGTGCAGTTCCCTGCCCTGTGGAGCCTCCCGGAGCTCAGCAGCCCTATAAATCCTTGGCACAGCTTTTCCCCCTGTCAGGAGCTATCTGTTTCCATGGCAAAGAATAGCTGTATTTATGGTCACTCACCATCCGGGGGATGTGAATTTATATCCTGCAGAATCGCCTCTCCCTGCTGAATTGTAAGGAGCCTCCAACGAGGAACAGTTGTAGAGATTCAAACCCCTGTTGGACAGTTTTCCTTGCTTTTTAAAGCCCATCCCTTTTCCCAGACGTTATCAGGCTTCGATGTGGAATAGCCCCGGGGCTTTTGCCATACCTGGCCCGGGGGCTGGCACATACCTGGAGTCATCCCAGTGGGATTAAGTCCCTGTGTGTGGAGGGTCCCTGTTGGAAAGAGCTCATGGCCCCCCTGGATGCCCCCAGCTGCTGATCCCCTCCCTAGGGAAGCTCCAGCCCCCTTTAACAGGATCTGGGTGGGTCTGTCAGCTGTGGTGGCTCCAAAATCCCGATCCTGGCAAGGACACCTGGGTTTGGCTGTTCCCGGCCGTGGACGACCTGCTCCAGCCCCACTGATGGGAACGGGGAGGTTTGTCACGGCTCTCTGGGACCCCAGTTCGTGGAAACATAAACGACTTCGGGATGGACCAGGAGAAGGGGTCAGATTTTAGGATCTCACCTGTGGGAGATGATTCTGGTGTTGGATTTGGCTCCACACCCCTCGGACACGGCCAGGGCTGGAGCACAGGCTGGGCTGGGAGAGCTTTGCTTGCACAGAACGAGCTTTATGAAGGTTTTTTAATTCCACTGCAGGAGACAGATCAAATTACATGAGAGGAGCAGATCCGTGGCTAAAAAGGTCTCTTATTCCCCAAATTACTTTTCCCAGTTCACTGGAAAGGAAGTGGAAGGAGCCACTTGAAACATCCCAAAGGATGATTTACTTGCCTGGGCAGAGTCCAGTAGCAGAAAAATCACCTTGATATTTCGTGAGAGGAGCTATAAATGATGGTTTAACAAAATATATAATAATACATAAGAATAAGTAATAATATTAAGCATCAATTTATTATTAAGAATAAATAATGATAATGAATAGTAAACAAAAATAAAAATTAATATATAATAGTATAATCAGAAGGAGCCACTTGAATCATCCCAAAGGATGATTTGCCAGCTGTGCAGTCCAGGAGGAGAAGAATCTCCTTTATATTTTGTTCTAAAGCATAAATGAGGGTTTAATAAAATACATACTAATAAGAAATCATTTATTAATAATAATAAAAGGTGAATTATAATTAACAATAAATAATGATTATAATATCTGATAAATCTATAAATTTATATAATTTTTAAAATAACAATAAAATATAAATATTAATAAAATGAAAATTAAATTAAAAACTAAAATAAAACAAATCTATGTGTATATATCGTATTATATATAATATATAATTATATATAATGTAATAATAATAGATAACAGTAAATATAGATAATAAACAATAATTAAAAATAAATGAGAATGTAAATCATGGTTACTAATGATAGGAGATGGTTTTAGGAGGATGAGAAGGTGGAAGAGGAATTCCACGCTCCGGGAATGAACCCCCCTGGTTCCCAGGTGGGTGATCCCTGCCCTGCTTCCCAGCTGGTGTCCGTTCTCCCCCTGCAGGTCCACGGCTGTGGGGACAAGGCCAAGGCCCAGGCACGGCAGCGGATCAGCAGGGAAGGGGTCCTGTATCCCGGGAGTGGCTCCAAGGACAAATCCCTGGACCCAGCCAAGCGAGCCCACCTCCAGCGGCGCCTGGACAAGAAGCTCAGCGAGCTGACGAGCCAGAGGAAGGGCAGAAAGAAAGACAAGGAGAAATGATGGACCTGAATCCCACTTTTTTAACCTCAGAGCCGCTGCTCAGCCCTCCCAGGCCAGAGCTGCTGAGCCCTGGGGGAGTGGGGGGCTCAATTTTGGGGGGGACACAGCCTGGAGCCAGGGGCTGGGGAGGGAGAGGTGCTGTATTGTCCTGGTTATCTGTATGGACACGGTGATGGATGTTCACAGAGGCTGGAGCTCACGGTTACAACAGGCATTAAACACCCAAAGCAATGAGCTGTCACTGTCACGTCAATCCCTGAGGCAGCAAAAGATGGATGTCTGGGAGCAGGAACGTGGGAGGCACCAGAAACCCCGGGTGACCCTCTGCTCCAGGGAGGGTGACTAAGGAAATGGATGCCAGCCCAGCAATCCTCTGGCACTGCTTGGAGTGACCCGGCGTGTCCACACCACAGCCAGCACAGCCCAAACCCCTCGGGGCTGTCCCAGCCCCTCACACCCAGGAGAGGGGCTTGGCAGAGGGCTCAGCCCCGCTCCAGGCTTGCATTGGGATGGGCATGGGGAGCTCCTGGGACACCAATGTGCACTGGGAACCTCACAGCAGCAAAGGCAGTGCAGCCCTCCCAGGCAGGAGGGAGCCTCGTGTCCCTCCCAGGCCTTCTCCCAATCCTGTACCCCCAAACTAATCCATCTCTCACGTTGCTTCCTGCCAGTTGATCCCCATTTCCAAAGCCTCTTTCCATCCCCACACAGCCCCTGCCCTATCCCCTCTCCTTGCTGGCTCCAGTCCCACTTGCAGGGTCCACCCGTCCCCCCCAAAAATAGCTCCAGCAGCGTTTTTTTGCCCTCAGGATGAAGGAAAAGGTGCTGAGGTGCCTTGAAAGAGGAATGTCCAGAGAGGGGCACAATAAACAGCCCCAAACCACATGTTCCCCATCATTTTGGGGCTGAACATCACTGATGTTGCCCGGGGTGATTCCAGAACCTGTGGAAGTCACTCACCTCATCCCGAGCAAGGCTCAGCGCTTGGCAGGAGCTGCAGGACAGCCAAGGATCTCTGTGTCTGTCTCTTCCCAAAAGCTGGCTGCGGTAGCTAATAAGAAAATTTTCCCCCCAAACCTCGGGGCCTGTGAGTACTGGCTGTGAACAACTTCCCAAAAAAAACCTTCCTCAGTCCTTCAGAAAAGCTCATCCTTCCAGCCCCTCCATCCTTGGCTCGTGCCTCGGTGCCTGGGGCCGGCCGTGCGTCAGCCACGGAGCGATGGCACCAACCCACCTGGCAGCAGATGGGACAGGGGGGCTCCTGGAGGGGAAGGTGGGGAGGAGGAGGAGATGGAGGAGGAGAGGGAAATCTGGGCATCAGTGAGCAGAGACGGGCACGTATGGGAAAGGAGCCAGAGCAGAGGGGCGTGATGGAACAGGGACATCACAGCCCTGTCCCAAAGCAAAGGTCAGGCAGGACAGACGAGAAGGGTCACCAGCTCATGGGATAACTCACCTCGGAGTCACCTTTAATGGGGGGAAAACGGCTAAATGGCTCATTCCCACTTTTTTCCCCCCAGGCAGCCACATCCCAGTGTGTGCTCGCCCCGCGGCGCTGCTTTCCTGGCACACGGCCCCCAGATTTCCCAGCCTGGCTCCCCACCAGCATCCTGCAGGCAGGGAAAAGCCGAGGCTCCAGGCAAAGGGGAATGTGGCCCCAGAGCATCCCCTGCCACGAGGGGCTCCTCTGCCTGTCACCCTCGAAACCTTGGAAACCAAGTCCAGCCCCCTCCTTGCAGCCAGCGGAGACGGGCAGGGATTTACTGCGTGGGAAAACAGACGGAAGGAGAAGCCATATGTAATAACAACTGCTTTTTCTGCTCTTATTGCTCCCTTTCTCCGTTCTCACTGGAAACATTCTGTCCCCAGCACGACACACCGAAATCCCTCTTAAAAATCCCCCCAGGATCACCACTCTCGCCGAGAGGAGCCACGCCGTGCTGGCATTTATCACCCCCCTCAAAAAAACCCACATTCCAAAGGAACCCCCCCTCTCCCGTGCAGCCTTAGGGTCCGTGCTTGAGGATTCCACCGATTTTGAGGCCGCTGGGATGCTCAGCCCAGCCGTCTGGGGAGGTTCTGGCTGGTTTTGGTCCATCTGGGCTCCTTGCCAGTGGGTCTGTCCGTCAGTCCCCACATGTGGGGGACCCAGGAGGGCAGAGATGAAGCCACAGAGTCGCTCCATCCATCCTCGGGGTGTTTTAGGCAGGAGCTGCCCCTCTGAGGTGCCGGCAGCTCGGCCTTTGGGGTGTCACAGAGTCCTGCTCAGCCCCTGCTCGGCAGCTCCTGGCCCCACGGTGCCCGGCAGAGCCGGCGTCGGGGTGCAGCCCCCCCAGGAGCCCCCCTAATTCCTGCGGAGTGGGTGCCACATGGACACGGGCTTCCTCAGCGTGGCCAGCATCTGGTTCCAGTGCGTGGTGCCCATCCCGCTGGCGGTGGGGCCGATGAGCACGTGGCCCGTGTTGTCACCGCGTCCGTCCTCGCCGCTCTCGGCCACCGTCACGCGCAGGGACAGCTCCTGGGGGGCACGGGCGTGTCACCACACGCCGGCCCCCAGCCTGGACACGTATCCCTGTGCTCTTCCCAGGTGCACACACACACACACACACATAGTGCCAGACCGTCCATACTTCCTCCACCCCATAAATTCACCCCCAAAACAGCTGTACCCCACATACAGCCCTCTGTGCCCCCACCCTCTTCAAACCCACTCCCTGCACTTGAAACCTCCCCCAAATCCCCCCATGCCACTATATATACACACCCTCTTATACCCCCATACTTACACATCCTCCTATTTTTCCCCACATCCCGTAAATCCAGATATGCCCCTGTCCACATACACAACCACCCCCCCATACATATGCACACCTTATATCCCAGCCCACACATCTACATCCCCCCACAAGAGTCCCCCACACGCATCCCCCCCACCAACCACTTCCACACATCCTCATCCCCTCCAAACAGTCCCCCCACCAATCCCCCGAAAGTCACCCACACCCACATACCCCTAAAAGCCCCTCCCCATGTCTCCTCCATGCCCTGCCCCACTCATGCACCCCCAAACCATCCCTGCACACCCCTGGCCCCCACAGCTCCCAGGATCCCCCCAGAACCCCTCATCCTCCTGGAACTCCCCACTGGAGGATTTGGGCAGCTCAAGGAGCGGTGGGATGTGCCCCAAGCTGGGCCAGACCTGGAGCACGATGGCCGGCACGGAGAAGATCATGGCCTCGTTGAACACGGGGTTGGTGTCCCCCCTCTTCACCGCCGTCTTCTTCTTGCTGATCTTCCTCCCGTCCTGCAGCAGGTACACCTTGACGAAGGGATCTGCTCGAGAGGTGGGGGAGAGACCCCAGGGTCAGTCACACGTGTCCCCAGGGTCGTGGAGAAAGAGGGGGGACCCTCTCTAGTGGCCCTTCCTCAGCGGGAGCCGCTCCAGTAAAGATCTGTGTGGTCAGTGGCACAAACCAGGGCAAACCTCAGCCCACCACAAGCCCCCCGTGCCCGCCCGGCCCCCCCCAGCCCGCTCACCTGCGGTCACCTTGCCGTTGGTCCACACGAGGTTCTTGGCCTTGACCACCACCACCGTGAGCCGCTCGGCCGTGGGCAGGTAGCTCAGGGAGAGCAGGATCTCCCCCACCGTGTCCACGGGCTGCGGGACACAACGCCCCGTCACCCACCGACCCCTGGGAGCCCCCCCCCGAGACCCAAGGAGGGAGACGGGGCACCCCCCCGGCCCCGCTCACCTTGCTCATGTCCTGCAGGTAGAGCCAGGCGTTGAAGGGGCGCGTGGCCAGGTCCAGGTCGGAGAGCTTGAGCTCGGCCACGCCGGTGCTGACGCTCCTCTCGTCCTCGTCGATGCCGAAGACGGAGAAGCGCAGGCTGTTCTCCTCCAGCGCCGCCGGATCCAGCGGGATGGAGAAGCGCTCGTCGAAGGCCACGGCGTAGGCGCTCCTCTGGATCTGCCACGGGAAGGAGGGATTGCCCTGGCACCCCTCGGGTTTAGGGGCCATGTCCAAGACCCACCTTGTCTCTTCTCATGGGAGCTGCGAGGAGCGCGTGGCCTCGGGGAGTGAGGGCATCCCCAAGAACAATGAAGTCAGGGAGGGCATCCCCGGCCTGATGGAGCTGGGGGGTCCCAGCCTCCACGGGGATGAGTTATTTCCCACCCCACCCCAGCAGCCACTCAGCGACTGGGGCAAAAATCAGGGCTGTGACCTGCCCCCAGCGCCTGTTAATTTTTCTAATTAAAAAAATCAAGGTTGGTCTGGTGCTCTCAGATCCATCCAGGCACCCTGAGAGCTTGGATGTGCATCTGGCTTGGCCACATCAGGCTCCAGGATTTTGCTGAGGGGGTGTAATCCCCAACCCCACTCTGAGACGGAGTTGAACCAATCCCTGCATGTGCCCAATGGGAATGGTGCCTTTTGGCTGACACCGTCCCCGTGTCACATCATTCCCTGGGAGCAGAGGCAGCAGCAGCTCCCAGGGCCCATCCTGAAGGTGTTGATCCCAAAGCTGGTTTTTTCAAACCCCTCCATAAGCACCACCAAAAGCTCTGACTGGGCCTTCATCTGTGGCCTGGGGACAGCTGAGGACAGAGTGCTGGTGAATTATAAATAATGATGCTAAATAATAAATACCTCCAGAGCAAAAGCGAAGAGCCTAAGATCTGGATGGAAAAATGGTCTAAAAGGGCACTGTGGAAATATTTTGGAGGCAGCAGAGGGTGTGTGTGGATGAAGCGGCACCTCATCCCCCACAGAGGAGTTTCTTTGGTGGGATGAAGACTCCAAATAAATATCTCGATTAAATCAAACTGGCTGACCCTGAGCTCTCCAAAAAGCAGCTGCTGAAGGAAAACTGAGGCTCCTGCTTTCTGAGACCAGCTTTCGGGGCGCTTAAAAAGAGAAGTTTTGCCCCAAATCCAGCCCCGGTGGTGGACCTGACATTGCAGCCACATGGATCTTTCTGCATGGAGAGGGAAAAGCTGTGGCAAGGAGAGGGATTGCAGGGCCTCTGGGGACTCAGGGGGCAGTGGGACCATGGCAAGACACCAAGAGCACCTGCCCAAACTGCCACTGCCCCCCAAGTTTCACCCCAGGCCACTTCTTCCACCTCCCACAGCATCCCTGGCACTTGGAGCAGGGCAATTCAAGCCACCAGCCACGCTTGGAGATGACAAAGTCAACCCAAATCCCAGCCAAAGGGGAGACACTTCTGCCTCTACCAAGTCTCTGATGTGCAAACCCACCTGGGACACCCCCCAAAATCCTGTGCCAACTGCATCCAGTCCCGACGCACTGGGAGCTTCCTGCTCCCAACCCCCCGTCACTGCCCTGGGAAGCTGACATCCCCAAAATCCCATGCCAACCATATCCAGCCCTGGCATGCCTGAAGTCTCCTAATCCCAAACCTCAAACTTCCCACTGCCCCGGGAAGCTGAAACCCCCAAAATCCCGTGCTGACCGCACCCGGTCCTGATGTGTCTGGAGCTCCCTGCTCCCAAACAAACCCCCACCACTGCCCTGGGGAGTGTGCCCAAGGGATGCTGCCAGCCAAAATCCCACGCCGGGGTTCCGCGGGGGACCTGGGGGGACTCACCCGGGAGATGCCGACGATCTGCTCGGCCGGGAGGAGGCTGATCCGCATGAAGCAGGACTCGAACCGCGCGTCCTCCTTCTCCAGCAGGTCCTTGCCCTGCAGCAGCGTCACGTGCAGGGCGGCCGCCTTCCCGTCGTACTCCATGGACACCTCCACCTGCCCCACCGTGAAATCCTGCCCGAAGTTGTTCCCGATGGACGAGATGGAGTTGAGGGAGTCGGCCGAGATGGATTTCTTCAGGGGGCCGTAGTGGGCCAGGCCCAGGTCTCTGCCCATCAGCTCCAGGCTGCCCAGCTCCTGGATGCTCTCCAAGGTGTCCTCTGCCCTCAGGCTGCTCCTGCGGCTGGCAGTGCTCTGACCCGGCGTCCGCTGCGAGCCCGGGGCCAGCCCTCGCTGCCAGGGAAAGGAAACCAGTGATGCCATCCCGTCCCTCCAGCTGGGCTTCTCCGGCGCCTCTTTGGATGCCTCCCGGCCCCTGCCTGGCCCCAAGCTGCTGCGGCAGCGAGCCCGGTGCCTCCCGCAGCTCCCAGCTCCGCCGATCCCCCCAAACGCTCCCCCAGCACCGGGTCGCCGCCCGTGGCCGTTCCCGCTGGGAGCCAGGAGGTATTTTCACCCTTCCGGCATCCCACACGTTGCAAAGGGAAGGAGATCAACCCGACTTTCCCCCCTTTTACCTTGTGCCTGACGTCCGGATACGCTGCTCCGTACTTCTGCTCCAGGTACCGGTAGTCATAGTTGGGGAAGGGGGAAGGGGCCGGGTAGCTGCCGGAGCGCCAGAGCTTCCAGAGGTTGATGGCTGCGATTCCCAGCAGCGCCAAGGCGCCGGCGGCATAGAGCCCGATCTCCCACCGCGGCGGGCTGGAGGCCACTGGAGGGGACAAGGGACTCCGTGAGCTCGTCACGACCCGCGGGCTGAGCCTTCAGCCCCAGCCGCTTCCACGCCAGGAACTCGGCTCCAAGCTCCGAGGACGGGATGGGCCAAGGGGGGATAAACCACAGCTCCCACCCGGGTCAGGCAGCGGCTTTGCCAGCCAAAAAAATGACAGTCCTGGTTTGGCTTTCTCGGGAGGTGACATGCTCCTGCTTCCCAGCCCCGCTTCCCAGCGAGTGGCTTCATCACTCCCGGGGTGCCGGGGGTCCCTTCGCCAGCTGCGGCTCCGTCCCACCGACAGATGTGCCCCGTGCGCATCTGCATCGCCCTCGCTGCTGCCTGGGTCCCCACGGGCTGGGGATGCCAGGAAAATCCAGAAACAGGGGAAAAACCAAACCCAAACGCTGCTGGAAACGGGGGCAGAGCCCCCCGGGTGCTGCTGGAGCGAGCGGGGAGGGAGCGCCGGGCTCGGCAGCGATGCTCCAGCGAGCGGTTCCTGCTGCATTGCACCAGCCTCCATCACTCCCGCGCGGAACCGACACCGACTGCTCCGGGGAGCACAAAAACAGCGGGAAAAGAAAGGATTTCTCATCCCAGAGCGCTGCCGGGGAGCTCTCCGGCATCGCGGCGCGGCGCTCCCTCCTTCGGAGCCGGAAAAAGCCCAAAGCCAGGCTGAACTCCCACATCGCATCCGAGCACAGGCACAACCTGCTGCTCCCCCCAGCCCTCCTCCGGCAGGAACAGAGAAAGGATGAGCAGAAGGAACTGACTGTCTGCATCCAAAGCACCTAACCTGGATCCCGGGAGCAGCCCAGAGGGATCTCGGGGGTTAAACCTCGGGGTAGGAGCCAGGCCCTGCTTCCTCCACCTCTCCCAAAGCCCATAAGGACTCTGATTTATCCCTGCATCCCGGCTAAGGATGCTGGGGGAAGAAGTCAGAGGTTTCCTGTGCCAGAGTTCCCAGGCTCCTGCTACGACAGAGGGGCAAAACTCGAGAATAAAAATAAAATTGGCAGAATAATCCTTTACTGGCGCCTGCTTCTGAATAACTCCAGGTACAAAAATCCCAGCTGAACTGCAACCTGCTTCCTCCTCACTCCTGCCCCTTTCTGAGGGCTGAGCACTAAAACTTGGGGGCTTTAAGGGTTTTACCCATGTTTTAGTAAACAAAATCCCACAGGCGTGTGGAGCAGAGGGTTCTCCCGGTGGGAAGCAGCGAGGACCAGCCAACCCCCCCTAAAAAGACCTCGGTGTGAGCCGGGCCAGCTCTGCCCCAAACCCTCCCCGGGCTCTCTCGGGAGGACTCACCGCTGAAGCGGGATCTGCTGACGTGCCCGGTGTCCATGGCAAACGCTCCCTGCGAGCGGGACAGCCTGGAATGCGCGAGACACGGCGTCAGGGTGAAGGCGAATCGTTCAAAAATCGAACGCCTTGTGATTTTCCTGCAGTGAGCGTTCCATCACTGCTCCCCCTCCGCTGCTCCCGGCCTTGGCTCCTCTTCCAGGTGCTGAGCAAAGGCGCTGAAGCCTCTCGGCCGGCGGCAGGAGCTGGAGGAGGGATGGAAACCACTTGGGAAGAGGCAGAGCCGCTCGATTTACCTCGGGAGTGTTTAGTGGGTGACATTCCCAACCGGAATGTCCTCCCTCCTGCAGCCCTTAAAGCCCTTTGCTGCTTTTCCAGCTTAAATCTTCCTTCTCCTCCTGCAGTTTGCCAGACTCTCCCGAGGCTCTGCCCTGGCCCCAGGTGAGAGGGGCAGTCCCACTCCCCAGTTTTGGGGTTGCTGCAGGTGATGCCATTCCCCAGGAATCGGTTCCTGCGGTGGGAAAGCTCCGCCACCTTCCCCCCATGAAGGGGTTTTCCCAGTCAAGTCATACGAGAGATCCATCCTAATGGAGGGAAGCTGCTCCTCCAGGCAGATCCCAGTGAAGGCACCACGGATGCCAAAGGGGCTTTATTCAGGACAACTATTTCCTGCTGTACAAAGGGGGTTTGAGATCCCCCAAAACACCCAGCAAGCAAATCTAACAGGAACTGAGCCAGAATGCTCCCTGGCATCCGAGCCAGCAGATCACAGCCCATGGGATGCTGACATGATCCCACAGACCCCCAACCTCAGCACTGCATCTAAACCCTCTCCCCACCCCCCTCAGAGCCCCCCAGCCCCTCTCCAGAATTTCCACAGCCCCAAAGCCTACTCATGGCACAGGAGAAGGAGTTGGGTTGGCCTCAGATGGATGATCCCGCAATATTTGGGTTTCACTTTCCAGCTTCTCTCAGGTGCTCACAGCTTCAAGCACTGTGGGGTGATCAACCCTCCCCAAAACCATCCAGGCTTGGATTTTAACAGGCAAAGGTGGGGCTGTCAGTGTATTACAGAGGAAAATATGAGCTGTGCTGGCCTGGCCTGGCTGGGGACCCTCTGCAGGGACACACGGCCCATTGTTGGGCTAACAGGAGGGGGTGTGTGTCCCAAATGCAACTCAAAGGGACAGCGAGGCTGAGGTGGGGCTGGGAGACGCCCAGCTCCTCCCCAGCCTCCTCCCACCAGCACAAACCTCCCCAGGCAATCGATAAAACAGGAATAACCCGGCTGAGAACGTGCTGAACTCGTGTCACACATGGGCTGAGCTCAGCTCAAGGGATTGTCTGCTGTTTGGTGCTGAAAACTGGCATCCAAACAGGGCAACACGATGGAGATTTGCCACCTCTTTTTGTGCCCTGAAAAGCTCCCATGCCCAAGCAAGGGGCTTTGCTCCTTTCCATGTTTCCCAGTGTTTGGGGTTTTTTAATACGAAAATAGTAAAGTTTTCATGACTGACTCTTCCTGCAGGAGGACAAACCTCCTCCATCTCTTCCCAATTTCTCTTGGAAATTAAAAAGAATTTCTGATTTTCCTTGCCTTTCAGAGCTTCTCCCCTCAAACCCTCCCTCTCTAAGCAGCAAGTTAAGCAGATTTCCGAGGCATTACCTGGAAAGATACTGCGGTGCTCAGCTCTAGGACGAAATCCAGAGGTATTTTCCTGTTAGGAAGACAGCATCAACCTCTCCCGAGCGAGGAAACGGAGGTGGAAGTGCTTGGGGAAGGATTCATGGCTTTTTTTGTAAACTAAGCTCTTCCCTGGAGCGTTTCACTGAGCTGCTCTGACATCCCCCTGACCTGCTGCTCAAAATCCTGGGAAATCAAACCTGAGGGATTTGGAAGGAACTGGCACCATTCTCCCGCTGCTGGCAGCTCAGGGATAGGTGGATTTCTTACCCACAGACCTCAAGACCAGGGTGCAGAGCCCTGGTTTGGGGTAGAGAGCCCCAGAACAGGGCGCAGACTCCCAGAACAGGGTGCAGAACCCTGGTTTGGGGTGCAGAGCCCCCTCCATCCATCCTAACATCCTAATACTCAGGGCCAGGGCAGCTTTGTTTTCCTTGGGAGCTGCTGCAGACCTTGGGTTCCTTTTCCTGCTTGGAGGGGCAATAAAACAGCTCGATGAGGAGAGAGAAACAGCATCAAAGCCGTGTGTCCCCCCTGGAAAAGGGGGTCCCCCCCAACCTTCGGTACTTGTCACCCGGCTGCTGTTTTGGCACCACCACCAGCTGAGGCTGCAGGCACAGAAACCAAATTGCTGGTCCCAGAGCACCGGGACCAACCTGGGTACGACCCCTCCCCGAGCACGCTGCAGTCCCCAAATGTCCCAGTCCAGGTTCCAGCCATCTCCCTGCTCATCCATCCCTCCCTGCCGTGCCGGGTGTGCTGAGCCCGGGCTAAACTCGGCTCGCTGGTGCCACTGGTCCTGCGGCTATGCCCACCCGGGCGGGGCTCTGCCAGCCCCTTCCATCCCCCTCCTGCCCTGCCTGGCCTCCATCCGCAGGGCACAGAAGTGGGATGGAGTTCGCTCCTGGCACAGATAAAAAGACGCATCCCAAACTTGCCAAAACACAAGGATTTGGGCTCCGCGCT